AGAGAGAGAGAGAGAGAGAGAGAGAGAGAGAGAGAGAATCAAATTGTGCCTCTACCATGCATGTATCAGACTGGAAAGGTAGCTTAAATGCCATTCCACGTGGCGTGTTGTTTCGCCCAAGTCCTTTTTCTGTTAGTTCGTTAGTCTTGTTCGTGTTTTTTGCCATTCTATTAACAAACAGACACACACACACACACACACACACACAAGGAGGAGGGGGGGGGAGTGACAGAGAGAGAGAGAGAGAGAGAGAGAGAGAGAGAGAGAGAGAGAGAGAGAGAGAGAGAGAGAGAGAGAGAGAGAGAAAGAGAGAATCAAATTGCACCTCCCCCATGCCTGTATCAGACTCGAAAGATAGCTTAAATACCGTTCCACCTGGCGTTTCCCCCTAGTGGTTTTTCTGCCAGTTCGGTCTTCTTGTTCTTCTCTTTGGTCATTGTTTTCACCCGCACACACGCGCAAAAAAAAAAAAAATTCAAACCGCGTCCCTGCCATACCTATATCGGACTGGAACGATAGTTTGAATGCGGTGCCATATGGCGGGCTGTTGCGATCGGCTGGTTTTTCTGTTGGCTCGTTTTTCGGTCTTATTTGTGTTCTTGGTAAATGTATATATATATATATATATATATATATATATGATCACAAACAGAACTGCCCGGTAAACCGTAGGCAGAGAGAGAGAAGAGGACAACAAACGAGGGGCTGTGACAAACTGTTTCGTCGGAGTTTCATATATATATATGTATATACAGGGTCACCAGCCCGTACGTACGGAGGTCCCCGGTCAGACTTCCGTACGTACGGGAGTTCGGGGTCCCGTACCGGGTCCGAACCCGACGGCGTTCGGCCCCCACCAAAACTTATTTTGGGGCCCAAATATAATGATTGTTTTCTGAATTTTGTTTTGTGACTTCTCTATGACGTGAGGTACATACCTGTAAATTTTCAAGTCATTTGGCAAAGCCAAATAAGAATTAAAAATCGCCAGAGATGGCGGTGTCAAACGTGCTCGCCCACGTATTTTTTTACTTTTTACTTTTTGTTTTCACTTTAGTTCGGGGTCTAAGCAATTTTATTATTTTTTGAAACTTTTTTTAGTGGATTTTGTATTATGTGAAGTACACATCTGTAAATTCTCAGGAAATTCAGCTATTTAAAAAAAAAATGAAAAATCACCAAAGATGGCGGTGTCGAAAACATGTTCGGACACTCACTAAATTTAATTCTCTTTTTATTTT